TTTCTTGGCACTTGCCTTGACATTCTCCGGCCTCGGCCTGATTTCCGAGAAGGAAGGGAGGGACCCATTGATGAGCTCCCGGTGCTGACAGTGTTGCCGAACAGCCTTGTAGATCTTGGCATAGAACCAGAGCATGAGCAAGGTGGGCAAGTAGAAGTTGATGATGGCGGTCATGACCTTGAACCAGGTGACATCATAGAAGTCTGTCTCGCACTTGTCCTTCTGGGACTCCACGGTCTCCGGCCTGAAGCGATGCCAGCTGAGAATGGGGATAACCCACAGAAAGGAAAGAAACCAGGCCCCCAAGATGGTGACCAGCGCTCGGGTCTTGGTGCGATACCTCAGGTATCTGAGGGGCTGCTGGACAGAGCGGTAGCGATCAATGCACAAGATGAAGACGCTGAAGATGGACGCGGTGCTGGCCACGTAGTCCATGGAAAGCCAGAAGCGGCAGAGAGACTGACCCAGGGCCCACCTGGACATGAAGAGGTAGAGGATGTTCATGGGCATGACCACAGCACCCACGATCAGGTCTGCCACGGAGAGGCTGATGATGTACAGGTTCCCCACGGTGTGCAGCTTCCGCTCGGTCCGCACGGCATACAGCACCAGCAGGTTGAGCACCACCGTCACTAGGGAGATGGCGCTCAGCACCACCACCAGGGGCGTCAGCTGGGGGGCGGCCATGCTCGTCCTGTTTCCCTCGCACATCTTGTCTTCTACGATGCAGGAGGAATTCAGATGGGTCATCAGTACGCCCGCAGCCTCTAGCTATGGTTCACTTCCTGGGAGAAAAGACAGAAGGGCTGAGGTCAGAGGTGGGTGGTCAGTAGTCATTCAGCTGCATCGTGTGTCTCAGACTGGAGTTAAATACTGCCAGTAGTTCATCCCCCAAATCCTCAAAGTTTCTTTTTCTTTTTTCTTTTTTTTTTTTTTTGGAGAGAGAGAATTTTGTGCTATAAGGTGCATGCACTCACTGGAGAGACAGACAGACAGACAGAAAGCGAGAAATTATCCCTCCAGGGGTGAAGCCATGCCACAATCCCTTCTCATCTTGGGGTTTGGGGAACACCTGCACATGTGCCTGGTGTGAGTTTTAAGCCTCCAGGTCTAAGATTCGAACTGTGGTCGACTACATGGGAGTCCAGCGATGTAACCCTTATGCCATCTGCTGGTCCCAAAGTTGCATGTCTTGAAATTGGTGTTAGGAGGTGGTAAATCATCCTGGGTGGGGATGAGTTCATGGGGATCGCTTCACAGAGGCACCGTTCTCACGAGCAGAGTAACGATCTTGTGAGACAGAGTGAGTTCTAGCTCTCCGAAGGAGTGAATTCTCCTGAGAGCTGACTGCTACAGAAGAAGGCTGCCTGCAGGTTGCCCCTCTCTGCATGTACCCACAGTCCTCTGCGCTTTTGTTGGCCATACAGTAGGCTGGTTTAATGCCAGATTTGTGAGTCAATAAACCTGTTTCTCTCTCTCTCTTCTTTTTTTTTTGGAGAGGTTTTTGCTATAGGGCGCATGTGCTCACCAGAAAGCAGAGAGAGAGACAGAAAGCGAGAATCAACCCCCAGGGAGGATGGCCACACCACAATCCCTTCTCCTCCATTCTCCTCTCAGGATCTTGGACATGCACACACATGTGCCTGGTGTGAGTTTAAGCCACCGGGTCCAGGACTCGAACCACAGTCAACTACATGGGAGTCTAGCAA